AAAAAAAAAAAAAAAGAAAGCAATTTTTTTTTTTTTTTAAGACAGATTCTGTGTCGCCCTTTGTAGAATACTGTGGTGTCATAGCTCACAGCAACCTCAAACTCTTGGGCTTAAGCAACTATCTTGCCTCAGCCCACTGGGACTGAGTAGAGGGAACTACAAGGCACCCACTACAATGCCTTTTTTTTTTGCTATTGTTGTTACTATTATTTGTTGTTATTGTTGGTTTTAGCTGGCCCAGGCCATGTTTGAACCTGCCAGCCTTGGTATATGTGGCTGGTGCCCTACCCACAGAGCTACAGGCACTGCCCAAGAATGCAGTTTTTAAGGAAATGTGGAAACAAAGTAGATAAATGCATGGGGTGATGTCTTCATTTGGCATAGTTCTCATGAGACTAATTTTAATTCATGCTCAAGTGTTTTCTACATAGCTTTTATAGGCTTTGTGGATACTATATAAGATCTGAAAGAGGTAACTATCACAAAAGACAATGTCTACCTATGAAGAGTTTCCATCAAGCCAGGTACAGTGGCTTGCACCTGTTATCCTAGCCCTCTGGGAGGCTGAGTTGGATGGATTGCCTGAGCTTACAGGTTCAAGACCAGCCTGAGCCATAGTGAGACTTTGTCTCTAAAAATAGCCAGGCATTGTGGCAAGTTTGTGTAGTCCCAGCTATTTTAGAGGCTAAAGCAAGAGAATCGCTTAAGTGGAAGAGTTTTTTTTTTTAAGAGACAGAGTCTCACTTTGTTGCCCTCAGTAGAGCGCTGTGGCGTCACAGCTCACAGTAACCTCCAACTCCTGGGCTTAGGCAATTCTCTTGCCTCAGCCTCCTGAGTAGCTGGGACTATAAGGCATCTGCCACAACGCCTGGCTATTTTTTGTTGCAGTTTGACTAGGGCCAGGTTCGAACCCCGCACCCTTGGTATATGGGGCCAGGGCCCTACTCAGCCACAGGCACCGCCGCCCTAAGCCAAAGAGTTTGAGGTTGTGAGCTGTGATGTGATGGTACTCTACTGAGGGCAACAAAGTGAGAATTTGTCTTAAAAAAAAAAGTTACCCTCAACAACAACAAAAAAGTTACCCTCAAAATGGATGAATGAAATGTACATGTAAAGATAGACCTTTTATCCTATATAGTTCAAAGGTGAACAAGTACTTGAACATTCTTGTGCTTTCCAGGAGACAGATATCCAGCAGTAGTCTGCCTAGGTGTCCCACAGGATATGGGTTGGAGGGGAGAAGGAAGGAAGGAGTCTTGAAAGTGGTGGTCCTGGCTCAGCGTCTGTGGCTCAAGTGGCTAAGGCACCAGCCACATACACCTAAGGTGGGGAGTTCGAATCCAGCCTGGGCCCACCAAAACAACAATGATGG